TATTGTATCATATATTCACTAACCGTTATGAATTTAAGTAGTACAAGAATTAAGACGAGTAGTTGGATCCATATACACTATGCCAAATTTGTAATATTGAGTGGTTAACATTGTAAGCGGTAATTGTAAGCCCGCAATACTGTTAAACCGCTCGTTGTTCATAGTTTTAAGTAAAAATAGTGAGTAAGTTAATTAGTCAGCAAAACATAATGTGATCCCAAAATTAGAGAATATATACGTGTAAATATGAATCATCTAGACAACTAACCAAAAGTAGGGTGATAATCACGTCGTGTTCGGGTTGACGGGTCAAAAAATTATAACCAGATATAACCCATGTAAATAATCATGTCATATTGTTCAACCCTAACCAAAATATGTCAAACCCGGACATGACCAACCTAAATCGTTTAAATATACGGGTTAACAGGTCATTCTCATTTAATTAGGGAAAATTCCAAAAGAATAAAAAATAAACTGATAAATAATCTAAATTCAATAAAACATACTGAATGTTTGAAATTTTCAATAGTAAATTAGGTTACATGCCTTGTTAGCTTTTGTATTTTATATTTTTAAACTCACATCAATAATGAGAGTGAGATACAATGAGACATGCGTATAGTATGAAGTTGCGTTCAAGATTTAGAGCAAAATGCAAATACGTCAAATCTAAGAAAAAAATAAAAGAAATATTAAAATTTATTTTTATTCCAAATATGGGTTGATGGGTTGGCCAACAGATCCAAATATAACTTGAATATGACACGTATAATAAACGGCTTACACGGAGCAAGAAAACTCAATACAAAACTGTTTATTTACGTGCACGGATTATTATGATTACTCTAATTGTGTGAATAACCTAAATCTTTGTCTTCTTATTTTTGTTGTGCTTGTATGTGTGTGTTTATCGTATCTTAATTATTCTAAGACTTTCATTCAGTTGTTTCGCTGTTTTAACGGGGTTTCAAATAGGAGGCGAACGTGAATAACCTAGATTGGACCAACCGGTTGAAATGTCCTTTATTGGCACTTAAGTCTGTCTAACTGTTTCTTTTCCCTCTAGTATCTTATGGTGGGATTTGAATAAATTCTTTGCTATTTCACAAAGAAAAAAAAATGTAGAAATTAATGTTTTTTTTTATTCTACAATTTAGTAGCGCATGTAATTATCAAATAATACATCCACTTGAATGCTAATATGTTTCTTTAAAGTTAAATAAAATAATAAAAATTACATACACTGCGTTTTTTTCTTTTTTCTTTCTTTGAGGGGATCATATGTTAGATATATATATTGGTATATTTTTCATTAAGTTTAAGAATCATTTAATAGACACTACAAGAAATCAAGGTATTAACGGCCACAAGCGTTGCCGCAAAAGAGTATCCATGTCACCGCTAACGTTATTAGCGGCGACCTGTCGTAGGAAAAAGGTCACTGTTGTTGCCTCGCTGTAAATGGTCAACATGTCGTTGCTAATACCATCTGTCGTCGCTAATGATATGTCACCGATAATGCCATCTGTCGCCGCTAATGATGTGTCGCCGCAAAAATATTTTTTATATATTTTTATTTAACAATAAAAATATAAGAAACAATATAAATGCATAAAAACAGCTACAAACCTTATTTTTGCAGAAATATTAATCCATACACAACCGGTCCAAAATATTCATCCAAACAAAGTGTAATATATCCAAAATATTAACTCAAACAAAACATTTCATAAAATCGTGAAAAAGTAATTACTCGTCTTCATCATTTCCATCGTTTCCTTCGTTATCATTTTGTGGCGGCAATGACCGAATCCAGTCTTCTAGTGTCGCAGAACAGGCCGGGTCCTTTAGTATTGTTTGCAGCATCTCCAACTACAAAGAAAACAAAATATATTACCAACATATCATAATAGCATCGTACTTTCAAAAAATTACCAAAATAAGAAATACCAGCATATCATTATAACATTCTACTTTCCAAATAAACTGAAACATACATCATACACAATATTGCATATACATTATATCATTGTACTTCTTTTTTTCATTTTTACATTATAGCTTTGTACTTTCCAAAAGTTACCAAACTATAAAATACCAACATATCAAACTATAGCGAAACTACATGATACACACTATTGCATATACATTATAGCATTATACTTTGCAAAAAATTACCAAACTACAAAATACCAATATATCAAACTATAACCAAACTACATGATACACAATATTATATATAAATTATAGCATTATACTTTTTAAATTTTTTTTCCATTATAGCATTGTACTTTCCAAAATTACCAAAATACAAAAACCAACATATCAACATATCATTATAGCATTCTACTTTCAATTATAGCATTGTACTATATACTAAACAAATAATTACCAACATATCATTATAGTATCCTACTTTTTTTTTCGTTTTTCCATTATAGCATAATACTTTTCAACTTAAGCTAACAATTACTTGTGATTGTGGTGGTTGTTGTGTCATCGGTTGTTCCTGATCGTACATAGACATCACCGTAGGAGGTTTACGCCCAATGCCTCTAATATGCCCGCGTCGAACACCTAATATTCTTTCAAAACAACTTTTTATATCACTTGGTGTTAGACCGCTTGCTTTAGAAGAATATTAGGTTTGTTGATTGATCTCTTGGAGTAAAGCCAACTGTATTTTTAAAAAATGATAAACACCATAAAAATTAGATTACTAAATACCCATTGACGATACAAACACTTATATGAAAATACAAATTAACCACTTAAGTATTGTTGTTCGACTGCAGGACTACTAAATACCCCTTGGCGATTGGTATTAGCGTTACGAAATGCTTCGATTCGAATGATGTCCTATTTAATATTAAAAATTAGATTAATTATACTTTAAATAAACAGTTAAAAATATCATAACTTACTTCTTTGGATTGATGTAGATGTAGTGAGAACACATATAGTACGTACTACACATTCTAAAGCATATGCGTAGAATTGATGCGGAAGTAATGCGATCCTCGTCTAAATGTAAAATTTATAAAGACATTATGATTTCAAATATATTCCTTTGCCTAAATGCCATGTGATCAGATTAGTGAGGGAATAACAAAAGTTAAACCGAAATCCCATATCCCTAATGACCATGTCCACGGTTTGGGCGTGTTGCATAAATAAATTATGTCACATATGTGTCTTACTATTATTAATATTAAAGTTCATTAATGACTTTTTGCCATTATCTTACTTTTTGTTATTTTTCAAGTCCGCAGATTTTTATATAAGATTAACTTTCATCTTGAGTGATTCTATTTTTGGAAATATAATTCTTTAATTATATGTTTTCTTTTACCTTTACCTCTATCCTTGTCCCTCTTGATCATCATGTAAACAAGATTTCGTTTTATCTTTTTGGAATTTGAAAGAACAAGTGCTAGCATCTTATTGAGTGCTAGACTCTTATTTTATTGGATGTTAAAACTTGAGGTAGAACTAATAATGGTGTCATTTTCACATTACTATTTTGAATGCCACACAATATGTTCATTTTGTCATAGAATAAATTGTCATACATTTTTTAAATTATTAATAAAAATAGGAACAAATTTTGAATTTTGACTTTCTCTTTAATCTACAAGAAGCTACCGAGTTTGGTGCGATACCATGGTCAAGAGACGGTGTTTCCATATGACATGCCACAATCTACGTGTAACCATGCCAAAAAGTGGTACCGAGCCAGTTTCTGTAGCCTTACAATATGCATATGTTAGTAAATGATTGTTTTTAAAGATATCTTCTATAAGTTCACCTAACATATGCATTCCCTTACAGTTTTTTTTCTTTTCCTTTTACTGAATTTGAAGTAATTTTACCAACAAGGGTACGTACACATGCAATGCTGAAAGTAGATGGACTAGGGTAGCGTATGATTATGCTAGCAACCAAGAGACTTGAAAACTATGGCTAGACATATATAGGTGAGGCCAAAATAACATAGACCTAGGCAGGTCCAAGTTCACAAATGGCCAAACGATAATGCCTTGTAGTATCGTGCTTACACAGTGGTAAACTGGTAATACCAGGATATAAGTCATTCTGACTGAAAACTTTGGAACTTATTACATTTCAATACAATATTCCTAGGTGTTCAAACTTTTATATATATATATATATATATATATATATATATATATATATATATATATATATATATATATATATATATATATATATATATATATATACACGCTAATTTGACACATCCTATATATACATCATGTAATCTGTATTACAGATCTATCACTTGCCATCTAGCATAGAAAAGCTTGATACATTGATACCTAGATTACTTAACTTAATGACCGATTTATCTATATGGCTATATATACAATAATATATAAAATGAAGACAATTTATATCCTCATTCAATACATACAGAATTTCTTCATAAATTATTACCATACACTCTTTTATAAAGAATGGAAACTTATTACACTCTTATATTGCTAGACTTTTCACTTTTCATGAATCTGGCTAGACAACAAAACAAATATTTATATATAATAAAAACTCCTTCATAATAATTCGAAAGTTAATTTTTATAAATGCCAAAAATTCACAAAAACTATACTTCATAACTATAGTTCTAAAAAAACCCAACAAATTCAAACAATACTTTTACAAGTTTTTATAAACATCAAATTAATTATGGTAATTTCGTGTCAGTGATGACAAGTTAGTGAATCAATCTACCTACCCAATTGATTTCCAATGGTGAACATATATACATATAAAGATGACAAATAAACGAAAGAAGGAGAATGTTATGTAATAATTAGGATACATGACCAATAGGATTCAGTTCAATCCTTTTTTTATTTTAATTTCTGAAGTAAAATGCAAAGACATGAATGAAATTACTTATAAACACGCATACAGTTGAAGACGAAGAGAGCAGAAAATTAAACCAATGAAGGTTATCTTAAAAATACAACTAATTAATCTCCTTCACCTTCTGTTACAGCTGACGACATGTAACTTGGGGCGATGGAGGTCTCATCAGCTGTAGTTGCTCCAACATTATTACTAGAAGCTTCAAATCGTTGCCTACAAGAATAACAAGTGATCTCTAACATGGTGGAACTAATCTTCCTGGTGGCTTGTTCTCGAAGAATCTTAGCCCTCTCTAACTCAACCTGAGCTTGTTGCCTGATCCTCTTCGCATTCTCAAACTCCATCTCTGCCATTTCAATTTGTTTCTTTGCTTGTTGCCTAGCATCTTCTGCAAATGCTTGGTCTGCTAAAGCCATCTTCATTTCTTCTTCCTTTTGCAAGCAAACTCCATTTCCAATCGAGAGATTCAAATGGTTCTGGTTATTGTTGTTTTGTTCGTAGAGTGATAGTGATGGTAGGAGCTGAAGTTCCAAGTTGTTTTTGTATGTCTTCTTGGGTTTGTGAGAATACGGTTTGCGGAGGAAGTTGACGATGGTGTGATCTTGGCATTGTTGGAATGGAGGTGAGAATCTTGTCATTCGATGGACTTGTACTTGATGCTGTACGAGATGAACATGCCGGCTGAAATGTTGGCAAGTCTGAATGGATTCGCCGGATAGTACAGGCATCTTGGTGCTCTATGAAACTCTCAACTCTATATAAAGATAAATGAGTAAATAAAAAAGATGTGTACGAATATGTATGTTTGACAGAATAAAATAATATAAACCTTGAAAGAAAGATTTATCACTATTCAAAACGGATTTAGGATTTGGAAGAAACCAAATCTTCCTCGTGGAGTGCTAAATACTATTCAACAATATTATATATAAACCTAGCAGAAGGATTTTTCAGATAATGTCATGTTAATTCTTTGTCTGATTAAAGAAATAAACTCCTGAACAAACAAAAAGTTGGAATGAAGGCTATTTGTCTTAAGTTTGTGATTGTGTAATAAAAAAAATGTGAGATCATAGATCCTAGAAAAATTAATGAATTAGATATTATATTCGTTTAGAAAAAGAAAATCATAGATAATTTATATTACAGAGATTCAAAACGCCATTACTATGTACACACAGGGATAAAGTAACCACGCAAAAGCATCATCAGAAACTGAAATGAGTAACATGCATGATTATACATAAAATAAAGAAAATAGTAATTCAATATTTTAGAGAAACTCATTAAGGAACTTTTTTGTTTCTGACTGAATGTTGCTGAAATTTATGTATGAGCAGAAAAAAATGATGAAAGGTCACATCTTTGAGTCTGATCGAGAGAAAGAGAAGAAGTAGTAAGATGCCGGAAAATCATCAAAGTAGAAAGATGAAGAATATAGCAAAAACTGAAAAACATAAAGGAAAGTAACCTGGAAAAAACTCGACCACAGTCACAAGAATGGCCTCTTGTTCCACATGTTTTAAGATGAGCTTTATAATCAGATTGTACAGCGTAACCTTTTGAGCACTTCTCACAAACCCACTGCTTATTATTGCTGTGTTTCCTCCGAAAGTGCTTTTTGATCCCGACGAGATCTCCAAGCGCGTGGCAAGGGTCATGGTGTAAACAGCTGGGTTCAGGGCACACGAAAACCCTTTTCTTCACCTCCGGTGAATCCCTTTTCAACAACTTCCATGGCACCTTGTGACGCCTCCGGTGCATCTGAAGATTCTGATCTCTCTGGAAGCCTTGGTTACAGATCTCACACACGTATTGGTCTGACTCAAGTAAGATCTTCGGAGACAAGGACACCACTTCCGCATCTGGATCTGCGATTTTAAACATGCTAAAGATTGATCTATTTATCTGAGGATTAATAAATGCATCAAAAGAAGTTAAGAAAACTATCTTTACTATTTGAATTTGTGAATCTTGATGTTACAAAAGGAAACCTAACATCAATAGGTGAATCCAATTACCAAGACAACATAGAATTCAGTTATCTTTATGAGTTTACCTGGAGTTCCAGCAGGACGCCTTTTCCTTTTGCTAGGAAGGCCATTATCTGGGGAAGAGAAGAGATCGGAAGAGGAAGAAGGGCCCGGACCTGGGCCATGAGTTGCAGTGAAGTGATGGTGGTGGAGATGGTTGTCGAACATATGGGTAGATTTATGTAGTGGGTTTTGCTGAATATGTCTTACAAGAAGCTCCTAATCTTTCAAGAATCCTTTTTATTCTGTACAGATGGTTAAGTTGGTATAGTTGGTTGCTTCAATATATTAATCTTAGAGAGGAGAGAGGAGAGATGATGAGAGGTAAAGCAGTTTGCTTTGTAAAAATCAGCTTTCTTTCGGGCTTTAAAATCTTTTAGCTTTTCCAATGAGCTTTCTTTGCTTTTATCTCATTGACCCCCACCTTGAGCAGGTAAGGTTGAGCTAAGTCTTCTATATAATGTTTGTAATAGTGAGAGAGAGAGAGAGAGAGAGAGAGAGAGAGAGATACAGTACATGGGTGTGGGGTTTAAGATGAGACGGAGAAGGATAGAAGCGAGTGGGGCATAATTCCAATCACATGACACAAACTTGAGCCCACAACAAAGCAAACAGGCAGAGGAAATTAACCAAAAAACTTCCCCACCACATGAGAAAAAACAAACAAAATCAGTCATTATATTATTTCATCTTTTTCCCTTTAATCGTAATGAAGAAAATGCAATATCTGAATGAATAAATGCAAACCCAGAAACGCCTTTACACGTGACCTTTCGTTCATCCTCATGACCGCTCACTTTTTCTCCACTGTAAAGTTGAAAAAAGGTAAAAATAAGAATTGTGGTGGAAAGGTGATTCCTTTGACGAAAAGTACCCCTGATTACTGTTACAAAGTAAAACATGATTGCTACTACTAATATACTAGCTACCTAGTGCTACTCGTGGAAGGTGTGGAAAGCAATGAAAGTCCAGTTTTGTACAGATGGATCCCAGTCCAAAACGAGTGATTTTGTTAAAAGAGGACATTTCATCAGGATTTAATAGCTCAAGATATATATACTCAACTCCAAATGGTATAAAAGTATATATATATATTAATCAAAAGCAAGTGTAAAGGTGTCAAAGTGAATACTTATTTAAGACTCGTTAGTTAAACATTAAACAAGATATGTCTTCAATTTTTAGATTCCATGACCAGCTTCGTTTACTTTGTCATAATATATATATCCACAAAATGCTTTAGCGCAAGGTCCGGTAAAAAGATAACATGGACGGTTTCAATTTGCATAGATAGATAAAGTATCTTTAATGGTTTGGCGTTAGAAATTCCACTTTATATAAGGGAGTGTTTTTGGATCATAGAATTTGAGTAATCGCTATGCCTGAATATTTCTTCACACCTCCATGCATACCTCTGAACCTCTGGGCTATGGGATGTTCCACACTCTATGGCTTTGAAAAGATATGGGCAACTTGGTCAAGATTTCTATAAAAACTCAACCTCAACATTCTTGTATGCAACGCATGACCACTGATGTTAAACTTTCCATCATTACTTTTAGCCTGATCAAGAAAAACTAGATTTTTTACTAGAGCGCTTGTTAACTTGCACAAAATGTTTGGTTGCATTTTCTATACTTCCTTTAGTAATCTCCTTAGGCAATTTGCAGTACAACAACCCGAAAGTTGATGGTATTAACAATTTAACATAACATATCTAATATTCGTAAATGAGGGTAAGATGTTTTAATCATATCTATAACTTTTTTTACACCGTTTAATATTGGTTTCAACAATATAAATGATGCATCAAGTGTAGGTCACTAAGAGAATATGATGATGATAATGCGAAATGGAAATCTCAACCAAAAAAACCATGGTATGTGAGAAATTCATGTGTGTTACAATTTTAGTGGTTTAACCGTAATTGCAATCTTTATGTGAATTAGATGAATGGCGTTAAGTAATTCTAGGGGGTTATATAATTAAACTTTGGTCTTTAGGAAAAAACTGGAATAACTATAAGTATTGTGGTAAGATTATGAATTAAAATATATCGAAGATGGGAGAGATATATAGGTCCCGTTTGATAGGGGAAAATGATGTCTGGTAAAGTGCTGTCTGGGAAAGTTTTTTGAGTGGGAAAGAAACCATGCTGTTTGATTGTACATCTGATTGACTGTGCTGAATGATGAAAAAAAGTAATAATTCAATAAAAAATAAATTTAAAAAAAGTTATTTAAAAAAAATAATAATCCAAGAAAGAAAAGAAAAAGGTTGGGTTTGGTGCATAATTGTCTTTCCAGCCCATTCAGCCAGAAAGATATGATTTTGGGGCTTTTTGGGAAAGACACATCTTACCAGGAAAAACCATTTTTTTGTACAAATCAAACAGTCTTTCCGGTCCATTCAGCCAGAAAGATCTGTTTGGACCTGGAAAGATGCGTATCAAACGGGGCCATAGTGCTTTGATTGTGCATCGTAGTTGAGATGGAAATAAAAAGAAAATTCATTTTTGATGATTAAAAGGTTTAATTAAATCCATAAGTAGCATCAAAATTAAGAACACTTCTCTTTTGTTAGTACAATTTGAAGTTTTGGAATGTAACAAAGAACCAATATTATAACATTATGGATTGTTTAGTGTTAAAACCAAGATCTAAATGCTAAGTATTCATCCTGATTGATAAAATACATTTAAATTGATATCGGAAGTGATTTAAGATGCAAGGATGTCTAATGGACAAAAACCTTAAAGTTTTGATGAAAATGAACTTTCCAGTTTATCGGTATGACCTATATATGGGGACATATAAAAACTCTACACAACCATATGATACATGAGATATCCTAAGAAAAGTTGCCCCTTACAGCCACTACCTGACGTTCTATTACAGAAGTGTGTGCCTACACGTACACACTACAAATTTTCCTATACTCTTTAGGATTCCACACCCCTATCATGTCGGATGAAATTTCTTCCAATATCAACGAGCCACCTCATGAATATACGGTCGTATGTAGTCAATAATGAGATAGACATTCGAATAAATGACTATACCTTAAGACAACAACAAAACAAAGAACCTACAATAAGGCCAAATCAAGAATTATTAGGTTATTTGATTCTACTTGTGTGCAACCCTAAAACACCAACTAAACAATTCATCAATATTGACATAGACTTCAAGTAGCACATAGTGATCAACACATAGGTAAACATGTCATCTATACAAAGCAAACAATCTAGCATGCAAACTATGAGTAGATCCTTAGACTACATTTTAGCATGCATAACAATCATCCACATAAATAACATACAAAACAATATGAGTATTTTGGAAATCACTTTCCTTCTCGAGATCCGACTGACTGTATGCACCACATCTTACATTCTTTTTATCAAAATCTTTTCTTAAAAGGTTTTATAAATTTTTTTCTCAACCCTAAGTTTGTGTTTGCAAAACACGTTTGTGATAATCCAAATCTCCCAAACCAGGGCTTGGATACCAACTTATGACGTCCCAAATTTTCAACCAATTATAAAAATATTGAAGTATAGTTTAAACAAATAAAATTTTTAAATGAAACATACATATACATTTCATCCAAACATCATAAAACAAAACATAGAGTTTAGCAAAAGTCTCAAAACAAAACATGGATGCGAGTACATCCACACCACGCCTTTTTCCTTCTCACCAAAATAACCTGAAAAACATTTAAATATTACGAGTAAGCACAAAGCTTAGAGAGTTCCCTGGTAGACCATATATTCCATCACACATATAATGCATGCCAACTGTAAGCGCCCAACAAACAACTCGGTGGACTTATAAGTACTCAACCATCATTACATATGACTCGTAGGCTTCGAGCCATCATTCCATTTGGGCATGTAGGCTCACTTACAACATCTCAGTAGGCATGTAACTACATCACCATTATCCCATCTGATATGTAGGCTCCCAACCATCATTGCCTTTAGGCCTATAGACTTACAACCTATCACGATTCCACCATCATCCCCTAGAACCTAGCAATTAACATAACAAAACACTACTCTAGTCTAATCACACATCCGTACAATAAAATTACATAAGCATCCTACCACACAAAAGACATATAATGTTAGATAGACTCTGAAACATAACAAACTAGCACCAACCACCTAAATTCATCATTAGAAACATATCAACAATCAATGTTATATAGAGATCAGACCTTAACTCCATGTCCATCAAATTTTGAACAAAAGTCATGAAATTGATCAAAAAGTCAACGATCAATGCGTCGCGACCATCTTACAGCCACATTGCGACTACTAAAATAGTCACTAATCAGTCCACGCTTCGCGTTGCAGCCAAGGGTTGGCCGCATCAGGCTTCCTGGGAATAACAACCACATGTATGAAGTGCTTAATCAGTTAAGTCGAAGGCTATAACTTTCTAGAAACCATATTGGGTGGTGTCTAATGGATAAAAATCCAAACTTTATCAACATGCATGCCTCTAACTTGTCAAACACTAACCTTAGATCCAAAAAAGTGCCAAAAGGCTAAGGCTTCCTTATATGGTTAAAAGAGAACTTAACATGCACTTTTACACTTCATTAAGTCCAGAACAATCACTCAAACAACTCACAAACTTGGAGTTTTCCAAAATCCAAATAAAAAGGGACCAACCATGTAACACCATGATTTTTCACCCAAAAATTTTCTTTTTATTTTAAACAATCTTAACCATAGTATCTGTCACACCCCAAAACCAGAAAGGTGGAAACGTTCTGGGGTGGAGGACGTCATGTATAGCATCACAACCAATGTATAATAGCAATCATAGCAACACAACCATTACAGTGAATACTAAAGTAAAAATGTTTACATCAATTTGGAATTTGTCTGAAACTTGTTTGAATTACATCAAATAATTTGTATGAATATAAGCATAAAACTCTTATTGCTCCAACTCCTCAAAAATCCAGCAGGTACCTGTCTACTGATTTCCTGAGAATACAAGCAGTTTGAAAGAATATCAGCATAAAACTGGTGAGTTCATAAGCGGTAGTTTGTAATGAAAACTTGTTGATGAGCTGGTAAAAGTGTTTTGTATAGTTTCAAGAAAATCCGATATTTTCTTTAGTGAAAATGTAGTGTTCTCAATTCTGTATGAAATCGTGAATGTTTGTTACTGAAAACCGTAGTGATGTGCGAAAATAATACTTCATGTGACTAGCTAATGCTAATCATGATGTATAAGTATTTCGTACGTGAAACCATTGTATGTTCAGTTTTGTTTGAAAACTCTGAAAGTTCTCCAGTTGTAGTGTGTATTAGTTCTATTTAGTATAAATAAAACTATTGAAGAGTGCCAGGTTGTAAACTAAAGATGATTTATACATAATGTGAGTCGTATAACCATGCTTGATATGACTAGAGACCTTGCATACATTCTTCAGGCGTC